CTGCATTTAACCTGTGTAGCCTAAGTCCATCCCAGCCCTAAAATCCTTTTGTGTGAGACAGCGTGTGGTAGGTCCCATCTGGGTCCCATGAGGTTCATGAGTGATTGGTCCTAGGACCCACTTGGGCAGCCCCATCCCAACCTCCTTCTTCCACAGTGGTTCTACAGGAAGCAAACACACACAAGGGTCTGTGGTCAAGCACAGCATGTTCATCTGGGCAAAAATCTACCTATACTATATGGTCTCCATCTCTGTAGTATCTGAGCACTCCACAATCCTCATAGTATTTATCCTCACAGCATTCCTGTGAGATATTAAGTGCTATTATCCCCTTTTTACAAATGGGGAACTGAGGCACAGTGAAACTAAGTGGCTTGCCCAAGGTCACACAGGAAGTCTAAGAAGGAACAAGGAATTGAACCTGGGTTTCCCAAGCCCCAAGCTAGTATTCTAACCACTGGACCATCCTTCCATTCAGACCCAGCTGCAAATGAGAGAAGGATAAGTAGTGGTAATCTGGAAGGAAAGTGAGCAGACTCAAGAGAAAAGCAAATGCTGATGTTCTCCTTATACCCCAAAAGGAGAGAACCTTTAAATTACTACTACCCTACTACTTTACACTTTCAGTTCATAGGCCTTTAGCAAATATTCTCTTCTCTGCCAAAAATATTATATCAAACTGAACACTCCAAAGGTGATGTGCAGAAAGATCAAAAAAGGCATAAGATCGAATTCATTCTAAATCAATGGAGATGCACTAGGGATGAATTTGTTCCATGAGATTTTAATCTCGTTGGCCCCAACTGCAGAACTCTCACTCACCTTGGTGAGCATTTACTCATGAGTCATTCTGGTGGCATCATTTGCAGGCATGAAATGTACGTATCTATTTGTATGAGTAACTGTTCACCAATGTGAGAAAGGATTCCACAACCAAGCCCCTATCAGCCCCCCACAAACAGCTGCAATACCACCTTAGTTTGATTTATTTCCAAGAATTACTAACCCCAAAATGAATATACAGCAGTGACTGTGGCATCCATTCATCAATGCACAAACATGTGCTTAAGTTTCACTAGAGTAAATAGAACTATGCACTTGCTTAAAATTAAGCAGGTGCTTATTCACTTTGCTGAATAGGAATGGACTAAAAGCATCTTTTAAATGCTTTGTTGAAAACCATTATTTCTTTAATCATCATCTTTTAGGGACAGTGACCTTTTACTGTCAGTGAATATGGGAATTTGACTTATCCCTGGATAAGCAATGCGTGTACAGTTCCCACAGGTGCCAGTGATAGCATGCATTTCAGTCCTGCTTCACCTCAATTAGCATTTTGTTCAGGGGTGTCTTTCTTCCACCTTGCAGGAAATAATAAAAATTTACTGATGCATGAAATACAAGGACTGGACCACACAACTAAGGTTGATTTTATGTATTAAAAAAAAAAAGTGTCTAGCTTTAGATCGCCAAAACAAAAGGGAGGGGGAGGGAGAAGAGGAAACCCTCACTCAAAGTGATATCAAGAGTAACAAGCTAGGTCTACATATCTGGCACCATGAGGCAGTCAGCATTCCTTTCAATATGACACACAATTAGATTCCAGCAGACGAAACAGAAAATAATGATTATGATTGCTGATGCTGCAGCCCATGGCAGACTCACATTAGTTTAAGTAGCTGGGTGTATGCCAGCCTCATTGCACAAATGGCACTGCCTGTTCTGTAGGAATCTGAAGAGAAAGAGAGTACTAATAGCTTAACGGTGACCTTTCACACATGCCATCCAGGTGAATCCGACAAGTCTTTTGGCTGTAATGGACCAGATCACTATAGGCCAGTTTTAAGGAAGTTACGCACCATTCATGAAAATAGATTTTTTTTTCTTACACATATGAAATAAGTTTCTCTTGAGTAAAAAGTATAGTAAGCACTTTATTGGTTTACTTAACCCTTTCCCCACATGGTAAAAAATATCCAGCTTTCCATTATTGATTGTCAATTAGCCAATCAGCTAATATGAAACTTTATTTTTTAGCATGTAAACTCCATGGGGCTATTTCAAAAATTGTAAACGTTTCCTAAAAGAGAAGGTGCATTAATGAAGGCTGGCTTAGGATAAGTGAAAGTGACTAGTAGCGCTCTGCTTCTGGATTGAGTTTTCCATGGTTAGAGTATTTACTATTGAATGAACTACAGTGTTTGTTACAGACATTGCTGTCGTAAAAGATCTACATCTCCTTGTTTCCTGAAGCTGAAAAATAAACTGCCTAAACATGAAATGATCACTACATTGTGATATAAAAAGGAATGGGAAGTTCATGTATGTATGTGAAAGCATGTTTCAAATAAATCAATATAACAGATACAAATACTGTCAGAGCAGTATAAAGGGGAATGAGTGTATTTAAGGATCAGGCCCCAGGATTCTAATCAGCCATCACGCAGCTGGAAGTTCTAAAATTGTAGCCAGAACTCTTGTCCATTTCTTCAGAGAAGCTAGCCTGACTAAAGGAATAGAGCATAATTGGGCTTAGTCTTCTAAATAATGGTTATCCCCTGTAACTAATCATGAAAGTTTTAAACCAATATCAGACTGCATGCTTACTCAAAATACCAGAATGTGCTCTGTCACTGAAATATTATCTTATCCTACAGAAATCTGACAACAAAAATGAGTGGAAGACTGAGGATAACATGAACTGCAGTATACTTTTTATCTTCAAAACACAACATTTCTTCTGCTAGCCTAAAGATCAGTCTACGAAATAATAAAGAAAAAGAATACACAGCCTTCTTTGTACACTGTACAAAGTACCGTAGTGAAAGCAAATGAGAAGATCTTTGAAAAGCAGAATAAAGAATTCCATGTAGTTATCTAGCTGAGGTCATCTGGAAAGTTGAAGGAAAATGTTTAAGTTTAATGAAAGGGAATCATGTATGACTCAGATGAGACACTCACATTAGGATTAACAGAAACTTTCTCAGCCTGAAAGACATTTCAAGGCCCAACTGTGCTTCCACTGAAATCAAAGGTAAAATTCTCATTGACTTCAAGGTGCAGGGTAAGACCCTAGATTATCTGATATTCACCTGCATTGTGTATTTCCCCCTCCCCAACATTAAACGTCAAAATTACAGCATGCTGATTATTGTGCTGATGAATGCAATGCAATAGGACATAAAAATGCATGCTAAAATATAATAGTTCCTACAACAAATGCAATGTATGTGCCAAGTCATTTTTTCTGCAATAGTTAGAAAGCCTAAGTTTGCTCTCATTTACCCCCTTGGAAGTCAATGTTGATGTATGGATCTGATTTAGGGGAGATTTTGACCTATGTACTGTAATTCTCCTACCGACCAGATGCGCCTCTTATACAATACATAGAAATATACAAATTATCTTGATCACCGTACCTACCTCTAATGTATCAGAACAATAGCATCAGGATGGAGGAGTGGAATGGGTCTCTAACACGGATAATTTGTTCTTCAAGTATCTGGGGTATGGGTCGGGGCTTTTTAAGCATACAATGCCCTATGGTGCTACCATGGACTCATCATCAAATGGAAGGAAGTTCCATGGCTCATTCACACTGCACAAGATGCCTATGAAAACACCATCATGGATCATTCCATGAAACCACACAACCTTGTCCTAATGTTCTGAGTTTATCCTTGTATGCCAAACAGAGCAGCAAATGTCTCCACAAATTCAAGTATGATTGAAGAAAGAACATTCTTGAGCCTGAGACAACATGGACCATAACAATGCCTCTAAGTATATATTAAAGAAATGTTTTAATCATATAGTATATTCTTATTTTTTTACATTTTCATTTGTGCTCACTGTCTTGCCTTAGCATCTGTTCAAAATTGAAAATGTTGCTGAATTTGATATCTTTACTATTGCGCTAAACTATAAACAGTTAGGTTTGCCATGCTGGCATGTCCATCTGGCACAAATTTTCCTGGTTTGGAATTGCATTCTTTATGCCTCCCCTTTCTTTAGTCTCTCAAGTATTTTCCCCCCTAAATCATATGGTAAGCCAAGTTCAGCACAGGAATTAACCTTCTAAAACTCTGCAACTCATTTCCTTCTCACTTGTCCTCGGTATGGTTTCCTTTTCTTCTAAGTCAAGGGGATCAATTTGAATTTTCCTAGATTAGTCTCAACCCTGTTTTGAGCACAGTTGCCATGATTCTTTATTGACAGTGGTGTTGGACTTCATACAAGTGTAGCCAGCTGCATCATTAGTCATTTCAATAATTTCTGGCCCAGTTTTCAACAATTTATCAGAAGGCTTGTCAGTTATGTGTTGCCATTATTTATTGTGTAATTCTAACACCCTAGTTCTGCCTCCCTAATCCTACCAGCCATACAAGATGGATCCACTATCAGCATATTTTTAGCCTTCACTCATGTAAATGTTGTACATTAAATAGCGTTTTTAATAATCTCATTACTCTTTCATTCTCCATCCATTTTCTATTCATTGTCATCATATCATGTTACTCTTTCCCCCTCCCCCCCATCTTTCTTGGGTTTTTTCTCCTGATAGCTTGATATTTAGCACTAAAGAAAGTGCTTTTAGGAATTCTTAGCAAAAAGAGATATTTACACTCACGATCCCACTTTCCTAAATACCCTACATTGAACTCTCCCTGTCTTTTTTGTTAAAAAGTCCTCAGTTGGTATGTAACTTCTGAAAATGTTGCTAGGAGTTCTAGCATGCAAATGTGCAACTGAAGTCCCACCACACATTGACCAGATTTGTAAAGTACTCTAAATTCTCTATTTAGCAAATTCCACAGAAAGTTTATGATTTTCTTAATTTCATTTTAAGTCAGTCGCTACTGAATCCCATAGTAATTATCTGTGATATATGCATGTACTATTGACTGCCAATTGACGCAAAATCATCAAATGATCAGATGTTTATTCATCAAATAATGAAAGCTAAAAAGTGAACTTCAAAACAATTAAGGAGTACTTACCGTGGCAGAGAGTTGTGGCCCATTCAATTGTGCATGCAGGATGGCTTCATTGATTGAATTCCTGATTCCCAGAAGTGCAAGTTCCAGATCATGTGACCCAGCCATTTCATTAGTCAGATATTCCAGTGTGGAGATATACTCCCTCCATTGAGTATCCAGCTCTGACACACTGGCCAAACAGCCTCGCATTACATTTAGACAATATCCCACACAAGGTCTGATTAGTGTCAGTCCTTGGCAATGTGGACAGTACTGCATCTTCACTAGTGCTTTGCTACATTCCTTTGTAAGAGCGGCATGTTCAGTTGTGTTTATCACTTCAATGCCCATATTGAGGGCCTGATTTAGCATCCTACTTGCCCAAAGAGATTTTGACAGCTCTGTAACCACTTCTTTAGAATAACGTCCAAAGGGATTTATGTCTTGTCTTGTTAGTCGTAGACACTCGGTATATTCCTCTGATAAATCTATAATTCCAGGATTTATTAGCCGACTGTAAACCAAAGGAAAGAGACTGTCGAAGAACCGTAAAACTGCATTTTCCACTGTAGTCTCAGCACCCAAAATATACAGAGAGAGGTCTGTAAAAAGTTCTTTGACAGGCTCTGCAGCTTCTTTTGCCATGGCTCTGTAAGCTGTCTCAAACAGGGAGGTTGTGTGATTCTCTGCAAAGCGAAGCAATGACTCAAAGGCCTCTGCAAAACATAGACATGTTAGAGGTTGATAGAAAAGTAGTTTATAACTTATTGATGCGCAGGGACACTGATAATAAAATTATATGACTCTGGCAGATTGCCCCAACAAGATTACCAGATTCTGACTGTTTAGTGCCTGATCCGCAGACAATTGAAGTCAATGGAAATATTCCCATTGATTTCAATGGGCTTTGGTTCAGGCCTGTGGGCAATACTTGGCAGGGCAAACCCACACCGCATTAGTAGCTGCCATTGTATGTGGGCAGGTCCATTTGCCACATTTCCAAAGCAACACTCTTTTTGACCAATAATTGACACATCTCCAGCTTACAATGAACAGTCTGACATTCTAGTAACAAGTACAAGTGAACCAAGAAATTAAGCATCAAATTCCTGAATCAGCAAAAACCCTTTCAATGCAACCTATGTCTTGCTGTTATGTGACAGTAAGGCAAGCTGGTAGGATTGCTTTATGATGAAATGCACTGCAATTGTAAGAACCCTGTTCTACAATAATTGCTTTACCATGCAGTATAAGCAATTTTATAATATTTGCATTTAATAAGAGGGAATATTCTTGTTCACTATTTCCTACTATCTTTGTTTTCACACTTCGCTCTCAGTCTTGTCATTCAGCAGTCTGTATCATTATCAGAATCAGTGACAAAGCTTTATAATATTAAGTCTAAAAAAACCCAGTTGACAGTAAGAATCACTTAAATGACCAAATATTTCAGTCAATAGAGACTTCCATCTTAGACCACATCTTCACTTCTCAAATATTACCATATTGATATGACTTGAAAAATAACTTAAGAACTCTATGCCATGTGACTAATACACTCCTTGATACATAACCATTGGCTAGTGCATGGATCAGCAACCTTTGGCACACGGCCCGCCAGAGTAAGCACCCTGGCAGGCCGGGCCGGGCCAGGCCGGTTTGTTTACCTGCCACGTCCGCAGGTTCGGCCGATCACGGCTCCCACTGGCCGTGGTTCACCACTCCAGGCCAATGGGGACTGCAGGAAGCAGGGCGGGCCGAAGGATGTGCTGGCGGCCGCTTCCCGCCGCCCCCATTGGCCTGGAGTGGCGAACCGCAGCCAGTGGGAGCCGCGATCGGCCGAACCTATGGACATGGCAGGTAAACAAACCGGCCCGGCCCGCCAGGGTGCTTACCCTGGCGAGTCGTGTGCCAAAGGTTGCCGATCCCTGGGCTAGTGTTTAAATTGCTTCCCACCTCACATAATCTAGCTGCTACCCCCATAGAACTATTGAAATCATGCATCAAAAAGACAGAAAAACAAGCCATTTACATCCCTCTAAAGACTATTCAGGTTTATAAAATATACACTTGTAATGATTTGGACTTTTGATGTGGAAAGTGAATATGTACTAGAATGAAGATTAAATAAGAACATAAGAACAGCCATACTGGGTTAGACCAAAGGTCCATCTTGCCCAGTATCCTGGCTTCTGACAGTGGCCAATGCCAGGTGCCCCAGAGGAAATGATTAGCACAGGTAATCATTAAGCCGTCCATCCCCTGCTCCCATTCCCAGTTTCTGGCAAACAGAGGCTAGGGACACCATCCCTGCCCATCCTGGCTAACAGCCATTGATGGACCTATCCTCCATGAATTTATCTAGTTCTTTTTTGGAACCCTGTTATAGTCTTGGCCTTCACAACATCCTCTGGCAAGGAGTTCCACAGGTTGACTGTGCATTATGTGAAGAAATACTTGCTTTTGTTTGTTTTAAACCTGATGCCTATTAATTTCATTTGGTGACCCCTAGTTCTTGTGTTATGAGAAGGAGTAAATAAAATTTCCTTATTTACTTTCTCCACACTAGTCATGATTTTATAGTCCTCTATCATATCCCCCCTTATTCATCTCTTTTCCAAGCTGAAAAGTCCCAGTCTTATTAATCTCTCCTCATATGGAAGCTGTTCCATACCCCTAATCATTGTTGTTACCCTTTTCTGAACCTTTTCCAATTCCAATATATCTTTTTTGAGATGGGGCACCCACATCTGCACAAGTATTCAAGATGTGGGCATATCATGGATTTATATAGAGGCAATATGATATTTTCTGCCTTATTATCTATCCCTTTCTTAATTATTCCCAGCATTCTATTCCCTTTTTTGACTGATGCTGCTCATTGAGTGGATGTTTTCAGAGAACTATCCACAATGACTCCAAGGCCTGGTCTACACTAGGGAGGCAGCTATGTGAATAACATAGCTGAAGTCGACGTACTTAGATCTACTTACTGCGGTGTCTTCACTACGGTGAGTTGACTGCTGCAGCTCCCTCGTTGACTCTGCCTGTGCCTCTCGCTGAGCTGGAGTACAGGAGTCGACGGGAGAGTGCTCGGGGATCAATTTAGCACATCTAGACTAGATGCAATAAATCAATCCCCGCTGGATCGATCGCTGCCCGCCAATCCGGCCGGTAGTGAAGACATACCCCAAGATCTCTTTCTGAGTGGTAACAGCTAATTTAGACTACATCATTTTATATATATAGTTGGGATTATGTTTTCTAATGTGCATTATTTTGCATTTATCAACATTGAATTTCATCTGCCATTTTGTTGCCCAATCACCAGGTTTTGCAAGATCCCTTTGTAGCTCTGCACAGTCTGCTTTGAACTTAACAATCTTGAGTAGTTTTGTATCATCTGCAAGTTTTGCCACCTCCCTGTTGACCCCTTTTTCCAGATCATTTATGAATATGCTGAATAGCACTGGTCCAAGTACAGATCCCTGGAGGACACCACTATTTACCTCTCTCCACTCTGAAAACTGAATAAAGCTTGGCATATAAAAAACAACCTTGGATAAGCCTGGGCAGTAGCTCAAAGAGCGCTTGAGAGGTAAACGTTAAAGTTTCTATTTCACAATGACTAGGGTGCTGCTTCTTGCAGAACAACACTTCAGGGGAGGGTTAAAGAATAAAATCAAATCAAAAACTGCTCTTAGGGTATGGCTACACTACCCACCTGATCAGTGGGCAGCGATCGATCCAGCAGGGATCGATTTATTGTTTCTAGTCTAGACACGATAAACCAACCCCCGAGCCCTCTCCCGTCGACTCCTGTACTCCACCGCCGCAAGAGGCGCAGGCGGAGTCGACGGGGGAGCGGCAGCAGTCAACTCACCGCGGTGAAGGCACCACGGTAAGACAATCTAAGTACGTCAACTTCAGCTACGTTATTCACATAGCTGAAGTTGCATAACTTAGATCGACCCTTCCCCCCACCCCCCACACACACACAATGTAGACCAGGGCCACAGCAGACGAGTAGTGGAGTAATGTAGGTGCAACTACCACTCTGACAATTACTTTCTCAATATTAACCTCTGATTGACTTGCCTTTTAGCTGATGTTTGGGAGGGGGATGGGGAAGGGTTTGGGGAGAAGTTTGCTGCACATCACAAACAAGAAAACAAAATTACATCCAATTAAAACAATCTATAGTTGATCTTTTCCCTACATCACTTTACACCAGGGCTGAGGCTCTCGCCTTAACAGGTTTATTGCCTCATCACAGCAGCGCCATGTAGTCTGGTAACATTTGGAACAAACTGCACTTTCTCTTATAGCGGGGCCCGGCAGAGGCGTAGCTGGGATGACATAGGCCAGGATTAACATGCATTGGCAGAACTATGTTGAAAAAGCTTGCACAGTGCCTTTCCGTATTATGGCTGCCTGTGCTACTACTCCCTCAGTGATTTGATTTGAATGCTCATGACAGCAAAGGGTACTATTTAACTAGGCTGCTAACTCAAGGTGTCCCACAGTACATTGTGTAAATCAGTATTTTAGCCACTATTTTTTAAACCCGGAGAACAACTGCATCAGAATCACTCCAGCCATCTTCATGGTATTACAGCAATTAATACCATGGAAGGGTTTTTTTGTTTTGTTTTGGTTTTAAATCCTAGAACTTAAGAATCCAGCTAGAATTTGGTTTAAAAAGAAAAAGTTCGCTCTCAGGCAGAGCCCTGGTTTGCCAAGTTTCAGCCTGAAGCAGATTTTTACAGCTATGTTACAAAATTCTGCAAATGGGGTTTATAATGGAAATACTGACACAATCTTAACTCTAACATAGTTAACTACATAGCACTGTGCTAATAAAATATATTTTCTTTGCCAACACACCCCTATTTAATGTTTTTTGTTTGCTTTATTTTATTCTAGTGGAAATCTGAACGCTTTTTATTTGACTGAAACCATTCAAAACAAATATGTTAATAAAAGAAAAAGTGGAAAGCATTAAGGCCCCTTTTTGTGTTCTTTTCTATTAATGATATTGATCCTTATATCTGCAGTATGGGGAAAAAAGAAAGATTGTTCTCCCATGTCATATCAGCACCTGTAGATTCCCACATTGTCACTTTACATATCTAACCCTTAATTGTGTATTGCAACCATTCTCCAAACAGGACTGAATGAGACATGCTTAAGAGCCAATCTAAGGCATCCTTAAGAAGTTACAGTTGAATGAAATAGCACCTTTCCTGCCCCCTCACCACTGTACCATACCCTTGGCCATTCCAGCATGAGGAACAAAGGACTGAAACCAAAAATCAAGCATCCAGCACTGACACTTCACAACACAAGTACTGACCCAGCAACCTCTTATGCAAGTGCTTAACTAAGCATGTAAGCAGGCTGATTCAAGTCAAAGGAACTGCTCATGGGCTTAAAATTAAGCACGTTTCTAAGACACTGAATGATCCAGGCCATACCCACTATGCTATCAGATCACAACAATGTTGTTTTAAAAATATCTAGGACTAAGTTGTAGTTTTTGTAGCTCAAGCGGTTACGCCTCTGTTAAAACAATAGTGTATGAAAAATGACAGCAGTAAGTAGAGGGAGATTTTCAAAGTCAGAAAGGGCAAAATGGCATCTAAATCCCATTAAAAGTCAATGGGATTTGAGCATGTAACTCCTCAAATCTCCCCCTGAATCTGCACTTTAAGGG